GCCATGTAACCGGGTGGGAGTGGCCAACTTGTAAAATGTGGTGAAACTCTCTTAACAACACTCTTGCTTAGCAACCAAAATGTTAGGTCAGAAACTCTGGCATTTGAAGCCCACAAGTCTTAAAGCTGTCAAGTTTGAACACCCCTAGGGTTTTTTTTCCCTAAAGGGTTAGGGGTGCAAGGGTCTTGTAACTTGACGGCTTTAATACTTGCGTGCTTCAAATGCCAGAGTTTCTGAGCCAACATTTTGGTTGCTAAGCAAGAGTGTTGTTAAGAGAGTTTCACCACATTTTACAAGTTGGCCACACCCACCCAGTCACATGGCCGGCAAGCCACACCCACAGAGCAGCCCATACCTACAGAAGAGGTTCTAAAAAATGTTGAAACCCACCACTGCTCCCAGGAAAGTGCAGAGAGGCCTACTAGGCCCAAAACAGAGCATGAGGAGGGGAGGGGGAGTCTACATTGGGGGGGAAATGGTGCTGAAATCAAAATTAGAGATGCTTTTTTTAAAATTCTACTGACTAGCTCATGAAGCCCTTTCTAATACCATGATGCCAGATAGAATGAACAAAGAATAATTGCTTTTGATTCTGTCCAAGCTTCCTTAAAGCCTTCTAATAAAGATCCCAATTTTTTTTTTAAAAAAATATCTTAATTATTACACAACTACAAGCTTTCTGAATTGTAAGATATTTCAGGAGTGGGAACTTCAACGTTGTTGCATGTTGTATGAAATGAGATGCTGTATTAATCCCGTGATGGTGAACCTATGGAACGCGTGCCACAGGTGGGACGCAGTGCCCTCCCTGTGGGCATGCAAGCCGTCGCCCCAGTTCAGCTCTGCCGCGCCTCCCGCCAGCACGCTGGTCATTGGATCTCTGCCGTGCATGTCAGGGGGGCGGGGCGTATGCAGGGGCCGTGCATGCATGCATGGGGAGTGGGGCACGTGTGGGAGAGCCATGTGGGGGGCAGGGGGCATGCATGGGGGCCGCCTGCGCATTGCATTTTGGGCGTCTGGGCTCTTGTTCCGGAAAAGGTAAGCCATCACTGTAAGCCATAATTCCCCCATAGGATTATGTGTTTTGTGCAAGTTTACCAAGCATTTTCAGAGTTGGTTTGCAAAAATTATAACGACCACAAGATGGCAGCAGAGACACCTGCAACTCTTTTCTGCCACCTAGTGGCCATGGAATTCTGCAGACCAGATCTGGTAGCTCTAGAGCAGGGGTGAGCAACTCCCTTTAATGACGTATGGCCTCCCAGAATTTCTGAGCCAGTCACAG